GGTAACTATTTCAGCTATTTTAAAAAAATTAAACACAAATGGACTAATTTCTTACTGATTTTCCCTTAAACCAAAGCTACATTAACCAGTCTTACTGAGAGAAAAGTTCTTAAATAAACTTCTCCATTGCATGTGCACGCACACACACACACACAATCACAAGCAACTTAAAAATAACTCATCTGCTTTTAAAAAGTATTTATAAAACAAGTGGCTCTTAGATGAACAGCATGTTTGACAACTCTTTGCCAAGTGAGAAAGTTGATGGCTAAGTTAGAATTGAGTTTCATGAGAATGCTGACATAACTTGAACTATAGGCACTAGAAAGTGCTGCTATATATATATATATATATATATATATATATATATATATTTCAAATCTTATGCTGCAAAGCTTCAGGAAGTAGAATTTGAAGAACAAACAAGCAGTTAAACTACCCTGTTACAGAACCATTACAATGCACTGCACTAGCATTTGTCTATAATGTAAAACACTGAGATAAAGAACTACTGGCCCATTCTTACAGAGCTAAAGGAAAATCCGATTTGCACCCATGAATCAAATGCAAAAATACATGACCATTGATATTACCTGGAATTAAGAAAGTGAAGGTGCGTTGTTTGTTTTTGTTTATTTGTTTAAGTAGTTCCCCACATTTTAAATTAGGGACCTATGTAAATAACATGACATTTTTCATCAGCAAAATATAAATAGGGGAAATACAATGAAGTTAAGAAAAAAGCAGGCTAAATATCAGGAAAACTTGCTAACAGTAAGATTTATTAGAATGGGGAATAATCTCCCAAGGAGAGCGGAGGAAGCCCTAACTCTTCAGACTCTTAATATTAGATTTGACAAAACACTGGCAAATGTACTGTAGAAAATAATCCAGTATTGATAGAGGATGTAGTAGATGACCCTAGTACTTTAGTTCTTTTCCACTGCTAATGGGGGTGATTCCATTATTCATAAAATATAATTACTAATGCAACACTGAGTAATTAAATGACAATTGAACATCTTAACTAATATTAAATGTCAAGCAATTGTAACTACTGGTTATAATATTGTAGCAGCTTTTTATTTTGTCTTGTTGCCATTTAGCCAATAACTGCCCAGATCAGTATTGACTGTGCACAAATTATCATTCTGACGTATACTGACTAGGGATGTATGGAGTAAACTGATTTATAAATTGAAGATACTCCTAGAAAAGTGAGTTAGCACACCTCTGTAATCTAATATAATGGCATGCATTCTCATTGTATAATATACTTGAATATATAAAGTAGTGTAAAAAAGTGTGTACGTCTATACAGACTTTCATTTGTATTTGAAAAGCATATACTGATTTTGAACTGAAACTGGATAAAGTGTATTTTTTATTTTTAGTTCTAAATGCCTTAAGAAATATGGCACACTCACTGATGTATTTATTTTTTGCATTTTAGCATCTTTTTTTCATTAAACATGAAAATTATATACTTAAGAAGAAATTAACTTAAAAGAATCATCATCCCAATTCCTGTAAGAAATTTTGAAATGAAGGCTTGTTGATTATACAAAGTTTGCTGGGTTACAAGCATTTTGCTCTATCACAACTCTAAAAATGGTAATTTTCTCTTAATTGGCTGAAATGCGGAACCCCTTGTAGTACATTAAGATTTTCTATGTTTATTTTTGATGGTTTAAAAAGATAAGACAAGAATTGATATTTAAATATCACTAATATCAGCTTGCTAAAATTCTACTAATTAGATTCCAAGAAGCAATTATTCCTTTGAAAAATCTAATCTATATACCACCATAGATACCAAGTGTTCAAAATTCAATTTAGTATTCTCTGTTTAGAACAAAATAACAATAAAACTATAGCTTAACTTTGGTTAACAGAAGGCAAATGATAAATAAATGTCCTGATATAATCCAGTACACCACAAAAGTATAAACACAACTTTTTAAATATTAGCATTACTTGGTACCACAAAGCTACCCCTACAATCTAAGACACTGTTGCTTTGTTTCAAATTATTTTTGATTAAATTCATGATAAGCATTGCAGGACTAAGTGCCTCCAAAGCTTTAATTGTTTATGATGTAAATAGTTAAAAGGCAGAATAATCACGACTCCCCCTCTGAGAGTTATACAGCTTGTATCATCTGAGAACAGGTATTGACTGCATGTGATTTTTGTAGCATCAAAGAAAACATATTTTGGTTCTTCAAAGTGATCAGCGTTCACACTAAACAGTTTTAAAGACCACAGCAAGTAAGTTCACATCATCATCCATAAAAAATGTGGAACACAACTGATGCCTGTTGGGACAAGTTTTAATCAGTCCCTTTGATATCTGGTAGTAAAAAAAGAAAAAGAAAAAGCGTTTCCATTTAGTTCTCTTCTCCTCAGCAACTTTGTAATCCATTTACTGCTTTCCATTCACATCCCTAACCCCTGTGTGTTGGTTAGCTAGAAACCGTGTTGTAAGAATGTGAAGAATGTAAACAGCCTTTTATTGTCCAAAAGGATAGCAGTGTGAAAGAAATGTGTGCCTTATCGCAAGACTGCAGCTCCGTACTTCATTGCCATGATAAAGTGCTGAAGCAAAAAACATTAGAAGACAAGCACAATCCAAAAACGGATTAGAATTTGACATAAGCTTCCTCAAAAACTAATCAATCAACTCATGCTTTAATATTAGAATCCAGTTCTTAAGGAGGGTGTTTAATAATCCTTTCAAGGGTTATTACACATTCCCTATTGACTATGGTGACAAACTTTCAGATACAAGACAGCTAGGAAAAGAGGCAGAACTTTTGCAGCATAAATCAGAGATAACTGCTCACATAATTAACATGCTCCTGGAAAAAGGCATTTTGAAATAAAATTACGTTTTCTTTGCTTTCAGGTAAGGCTGGCAAACTCATTTTAAGGTTCTTTATCCCCCCCCTCAAATTCAGTTTATTTTTCACTAATATCCCAAGAACCAGAATTTTATTTTCTCATTAAAAGAGGTGTGCTAAAGATTACACTCTTTACACACCTATTTCAAATAAACATCTCATTTTAATTTCATTTTGTAGCTCCAGTTTTTTAAATCTATATTGCCGAAACCTATTACTTCAGTCACTCAAATTCTTTTGCATTTAACGTATAATTAAACAGTACTACACAGACACCTGTTCCTGTATCGAATCCAAATGGACAGAAATCCTTGTGTGGAGTCCAGCAAAGAATCATAAACTCTACAATAACTGTTTAATATGCAGTTAGGAAAACAGAAAAGTTCATAAGGATAATAATTTTAAGCCAGTGTTTGTCATTCACTTCCTTAAAATAGTTAACTAAATTGGTACTGCGCAATGCTAACTGTGGATCTAGAGTAAGGTTCAGAAGTGGAATTGTGGTACTCTGAAGCACCGCGTAGCTCAGGATATTCAACATGCCCACAGTCACAGATATGTCCTACAGGCAGTTACAGCTTCTATTGTTAGAGAGCATTATTTAAAATACAGGCCTTAGAAATTTGAAATCCCAATTAAACTTACTGAAAAATATTACAAAAAATACTGAGAAAACTATGGCACTCTTAAAAGAGAATCTTAATTTATGGGTCTGTAACAATCAGTTGTTTTGCTGCAAGTTGTGGCTGCCTTTACGGGATTAAAGTCTACTCCCTATTTTATCTCCAAAAGACAGTATGCAGGTAGACAACAATCATTACCTTTCCCAAGTAACATGACAGCAGTTTAATGGGAGAGAATATACAGATTGTGTGTTAAGAACTCGTATTTAGTTGCTCTTAAAGTTGCACGAAACAAGCAGGGAGAAAAAAGAGTGTTAAATGCCATGCTCCCAGCAAAAAGGCACCACAATCCAGCATAATCACCACCGAGCACAAATGTTTGATGAAGGGGCATGTGCTCCATTACTTTGGATATCTGAAACTGGTTACAAAAAACTAAACTCATCCTGGATAATTAAATAAACCCTCTGCAAAGACTCTGGTTTCAGGTATTTCTAGCCTACATAACAACCTGCAAAGGAATGCCTGCTGCTTTGACACAGAGATAGATGCAAAAGCCTTTCAGAAGCGCCTTGGCTATAGCTTTCCAAGGGCTCTGCAGTTACTTCTAGCATAAAGATTTATTTAAAAAAAAAAAAAAAAAAAAAGAAGCAGACTTACAAGCTGAAGGAAGCTCTGTACCACAATAAGAGGCAGGGGCTGCAGGTACATCATTCTGGCTTGGAGTCTAGGAGATGATTTCCCTTACTTGGATCTTGCACATCTCCACTTTGGGGGGCAGGACTGAGTACAGGGACATACCACTGTGATCACCTTAAGCAAAACGCAAACCGGGAGAATCAAACCCCCAACACATCCTCAGCGCAGCGCTCCGCTCCTCAGGCAGCGGGGCGACCTGAACTGGCCACGGCAGAGCCCTGCCGTGCCGCTGCAGGACCGGACCTGAGATCCAGGGGGGCCGTCACCTCCCCCCGCCCCCCCGGGGGCCGAGCAGCCGCCGCCGCAGCGGCAGCATCCCCGCTGCGCACGCCAGCCGCCTCTCCAGCTGCCCGCCCCGCTCGCGGGCTGCGCGAGGCCGGGCGGGGAGGAGCTTGGGAGCGCGGGGTCCCGCCGGGGAGTTGGGGGTGGCGTGGCAGTGAGGAGCCGGGGTCTGGGGGGGGGGCGGAGGAGCCAGGCGCGCTTGAGGGGGGAAGTGCGGTGGCGGGGCCGGGGCGTGCCCGGGGGAGCGGCGCTCGGGGCGGGCTCCGCCGGGCAGACAGGACGGGCAGGGGCGCCGCGGCCGGGGAGGCGCTGAGGCAGGAGGGGGAGGCGCGGCCGGGTAAGCGGCCTGTCCCCGGGGGCACGTCGGGCGGCATCGCTCTGACTGAGGCAGGAGCTTCGAGTCCGCGGCCCCGGGGGGTAACGCTGAGGGGGGCGGGCGCCGGGCGCAGCCTGGGGGCTCTCTCCAGGCCCGCGGGAGCGGGGGGGGGTTTGTAATCATGTGCGCGGGCCACGGGGGTCTGGACCAACCCCCCCCAGCGGGGGTGCTCCTGCGCCGGTGTCCTGGGTGCCCCCCCCCCCCGCCAGCCACCAGCCGGGAAGGGGAGAAAGGCAGCTCGCTGGGAGTGGGGCTGCTGTAACCTGGGGGGGGGGGGGCAGAAACGTCCCGTTCTGCGCTTTGAGGAAGGGGGGATTCATAGGGCGGGTTAAGGATTGGCGGTAGCAGGACTGTCCTTTATTGCTAACCCTTAGTCCGTGCCCGGTATGCACGGCTCCGCTGCAGGTTCAGGACTGACCAAGTAAAGCAAGTTTGCATTTTTCACCTCCGGACAGGACACACTGGGGATCACCTTGAACATCATTTCCATCTCCTTTGGCCTGCTGGTTAAAGAAAAGTATGTAAAATGATCAACTATTTAACCCCTGCCGCCCCCACAATCTCCCTGTTCTCACTGCTTTCCCCTCTAAAAGGAAAGGGAGGATGGTTTGGCTTAATTTACCCATTTTATCCTATTTTTAGGAAAGCCCGTTGTATTTATAGTGCCTCATTTATAGTTCCCTTATAAATCTCTATTTGCACTCAGATACAGTGCTGGAGAGGGTATGGGAAAGTGTGTGTTTTGTTTTCAGCGTTGTTCTATAGGAGAATGATGCATGGCAGAAGCAGGGCTACCCAGCTACAGGACTTGCAAAAGTCAGTTTATGTTACAGCGTTTAGGCATTTAGAGCTAGTTATAGGAAACTATTTAGGATTCAACACAGTGAGATTTCACTTTCTTCCCATGTGACTCGAGAATGTTGCCAGAAAGACTGACTATCCTTTATAAAATGCACTTTTCCATGTTACATACCTTAACAAGGGCCATTGATTCTTCCGAGAGACATGAATGCAGGTGGCTGCACCAGCTGTTTCATCAAAGCCAGGTTCCATCATCACCATAACTCTGGAGGCACTTACAACTTTCTCCAGAGGATCAGAGCACACAGACCCTATTAATTAACTCACCTCTCTGAGCTAGAACAGTGTCTACAAGGGGAGGGGAAGTTCTTAGTTCAGAGCAGATTGTTTTCACATTCAGGAAAAAGAGTGTTATTGCTCATGTTACAGAAGAGAGTAGAATCTAGCACATAGGTAATGAGATACAGGCATGGCAAGTCAGTTGATACACATGTTTGAAAAGTTTCAGAGTAACAGCCGTGTTAGTTTGTATTCGCAAAAAGAAAAGGAGTACTTGTGGCACCTTAGAGACTAACCAATTTATTTGAGCATGAGCTTTCGTGAGCTACAGCTCACTTCATCGGATGCATACCGTGGAAACTGCAGCAGACTTTATATATACACAGAGAATATGAAACAATACCTCCTCCCACCCCACTGTCCTGCTGGTAACAGCTTATCTAAAGTGATCATCAGGTTGGGCCATTTCCAGCACAAATCCAGGTTTTCTCACCCTCCACCCCCCCACACAAATTCACTCTTTGTGTGGGGGGGTGGAGGGTGAGAAAACCTGGATTTGTGCTGGAAATGGCCCAACCTGATGATCACTTTAGATAAGCTGTTACCAGCAGGACAGTGGGGTGGGAGGAGGTATTGTTTCATATTCTCTGTGTATATATAAAGTCTGCTGCAGTTTCCACGGTATGCATCCGATGAAGTGAGCTGTAGCTCACGAAAGCTCATGCTCAAATAAATTGGTTAGTCTCTAAGGTGCCACAAGTACTCCTTTTCTTTATGTTTGAAAAGATGCAGGGAAGGGGTGGGGGGGTGAGTCCAAGCAAAACAAACCAGGATGAAATGATTTTCTTTTAGTGGCTAGAAAAAAAAAACAACAACAAAAACACACACACCTGGACCAATTTTTGAGAAAAGGATAAGAAGCTTGATGCTTTTCACTCTCTGCCCTCCTTCCCCTAAATGCCAGATGATTAGTTAAACCCTGAAAAAGGAGAAGTAAAGTTTTGAAAACATGGTGTGTTCATGAGGCAAACTGTTCAGCTGAAGTTCCAATGTGCTCATAGAGCAGATAGCTGCGTTGAACACACACACCTACTGCTTTCGTGGAAGTGAAGGGGTAGTGCTTTTATTTTTAATTGATGTGAATGTTTTGAGCTTGGCAGTGCCACATCTTTCTAATCTGTAATTTGCATGTGAGTGATATGCAACCTCTCTACCACCAGGCTGAAATTGGGATAGCAGCAGTTGTTTCATTTTTCAAAACCATGCCTGTCATTTGCAGATTAGTTTCCCCCTAGTTTTCTCTTGCCATGTCTCATCTCATTACTAACTCTATGTTCCAATTTCATTTTAAACTTCTCAAAGCCTCACTAGTAAAAAAATGTTTAAAAATCCTTTAACTGTCCAGAAAAACGGGCACAATTTTACCAGATGATTGCAATAACGTAGTTGTATCCATTAGTTTCCCACTGAGGTTCCTCTTCTGTATGTGTTATATATGGAATTGTATTCTGTGCATGGGATATAGTCTTAAATCTCAGGTATTCATATGGGTCTGAAAAATTACACTTGGTCCATAACAATAAACAAAATTCAACTAGGCAAACTCTAAAATGAGTTCATTTTCATCACACTCCGAAGATACAGAAAATACCTTGAACAAACACACATGCTCATTGAGACCATCCATTAAAATTCAATCTGCACTGGTGCAGCTATTTTTATAATATTTAATATTTTGAAAGTTTGCCCCACTTATGTGCTTTTTAGCAGATTTGCTTAGTGCTGCATTTTTACTTTTTTTTTTAAATAGAGAATAATCAATTTCAATGACATATGGATTTACACTTACCTAATAGAATTTGAATCTAAATGCTACTTCTATATCCTGAGTTAAAAATAAATGGTGCCTTCTACAAACATATTTGTTTGGGGACTACGTATGTTAATTTCAATTAAAAGAAATTATATTTATCCACATATAAGTTAAACAATTATTTATTCGGCTAATATATTAATGAGAGAGTGCCCATTTCTATGAAGGCAGCGACATCTACACACCATCCTATTCTGTGCTGAGCTACATAGGAATGCATTTGTTCGATGGTAAACTAAGCACAGTAGCAACAACACAATCTCTCTTCCCTCTAATAAATGGAAACATCTTGAGCGCTATCTGCTGTACAAAGGCAGTACTACCAACATAGAAATAGAGACGTATGCAAGCACACTGCAAAGATTTTATTTCCAAATCAGGGCTAGATTATGCAGTAGTTTGAAAAGACTGTTATGCAATTAGTCATAATTATAAAGACTAAATTCGATGAAGTATTTAGATAGATCTTTCTAAAATGAAAAGCTGTATGCTATAAATTCCAGGAAAGCTGAATTTCTGTAATTGGCTTTTAATGGAACAATAGCATTTAAACTAAAGTACTTTAGTTCTATCCTATTAAATACAAACAGACTCAATTTAAATGACATTAACGTCACACAAACTATCAAAAGTTGGCCTTAAATCATACTTTTCCCAGATTAACTAAGAGTAAAATGTTTGTAAAGCGCTTTGAAGATGAAAAGCGCTATGTACAGTAAATGGTAAGTATTATTAGTTGTATTCCATCCTAGAGAATTCACAATTAAGAACGAAATGTTAGGCCTAAACTTTGCATTCCCTTATTTTGCTGTGTTGGTGTCAACCTAAAATGTTGTTTGAATCTGGGTGTGTTAATTTTCTGGTTTAATTTTAAGAAAATAAAAAATCTTTCCCTCGAAGGTTATAAAATACATAAACTGCAGGAACAGTGCTGCCCTGGCTGGGGGAATGGACTAGATGATCCAGTACTGGGATGCCCACAGTATGGCCTCAGTGCCAAATATGGTCCCAAATCATCACTAGCTGTAACTACAGACTAAGGACAAAGATGATTAACAGCAGATTTTTAATGCTAGGGAATCCAGTCAACAGCAACTTCTGTTCCTCTATCAAATAACATACAAGCACAAGCAAATAAAACTTTTATTGATCCATGTGCCAGTGTGGCATTCAGTCTCACTCTTCAAATTGCTGTTCAAACTCATTTCTTTTGGTTAATCTTAAAGAGTGTCCTCCACCTCACCCTTCTCCCCATTCTGTCCTCTAATTTTAATAGAGCAAATTAACAGGAACAAAATAGGCACATACCCAACAATGAACATATCAAGGGTCACCACTGAGTGTAGAGGGAAGAACTGGGGCTCACACCAGAAAGAAAACAATAATGGATGGAGTAGCTGTTAAATGGGTTCACTTTCTTTTCCAAGAGGTTCCAGCAGTGCTGGGCAAAGGCCCTTACATCTGGGGTTCAACAAGCATCCATCTTGTGACCCCTTATATTCATTATGAAAAACTGTAATTAGGGGAGAGGTTGAGACTTTGGACTGCAGTATCCCCATGTGACCGTGGTCGCTGGAGGGGTCACAGAGACTGCTTAATCGGGGCAAACTGCAAAGAATAGGTCAGATGATCCCCCAAACTGGTGATTTACTCTTATAATTAGATTCACCATGCCGGTAACAAAACTGCTTCTGTAATACCTTACTGGTTAGCAATCCAGCTTTTGGCTCCCACCCAGACAGCCAGGTCTATATAGTGAGGGTTATTTAAAGCTTACTCACCATATATAAAGTTCTACCAATCTCAAGAGATTGGACACATTATTCACCAGGTCAATGAATATTTCAGATCTTACTCAAATATATGCTCACAGGCAATTCTTATTAACTAAATCTAAGATTTATTAAAAAAGAAAAGAGTTACTCTGGTTAAAGATCATTATACATACAGATCTGAGTAAAGTTCTTATATCAATTTCATAGTAGAGATGGCGAGACTGCTGATTTGTAAAAGTCCTTTCGGAATCAGTTCAATAGGTGATAGTCCAATAGGCAGTCCATGTGTAGAGTTTGAGAGAATTTGCAGGGATAATCCAGGGTACACCTGGAGACAGTCTTGAGACTTGAACTTTTCTTGACAAAGTTTAAGCAGATCTGAGAACCTCAGAGTTACGAATACCCCAGGAATGGAGATTGTTCGTAACTCTGAACAAACATGGCTGTTATTTCAAAAGTTTACAACTGAACATTGACTTAACACAGCTTTGAAACCTTACTATGCAGAAGAAAAATGCTGCTTTTAACCATCTTAATTTAAATGAAACAAGCACAGAAAATATTTCCTTACCTTGTCAAATCTTTTTTTAAAAAAAAACTTTCCCTTTATATTTTTAGTAGTTTATGTTTAAACAGTACTGTACTGTATTTGCTTTTGTGTGTGTGTGTCTCTGCTGCTGTCTGTTTGCATATTTCCAGTTCTAAATGAGGTGTCTGATTGACTGGTCAGCTTGTAATTCTGGTGTTCTTAACGTTGAGGTTCTTCCTTAGTAAGGATCAGGTCCCAAAGTTCTTTTATAGTTGAAGCTCAACTGTTAAAGCTCTTGGCAGCAAGTGATCACAACAGGTATTCTTTGGATGAAGAATGGCTTCGAAGTAAATCTCTATTCTTAGTCACACACCAGTAACTAGTTGCCTTCATTAGCATAAGACAATTAACCATTCAAATGGCTCATAGGTAGTTTACTACAAACTTCAAAGAGAAATAAAAACAATGATATCATTACACCACAAGTTTAATCTAAATGTTAACATCCCCTGTGGATCGTTGAATTAAAAGAATATTTTAATGAAACATAACAGCCAGGAACTGAAGTTTAGCACCTACAAATTAATTAGATCACATTGTTTACCTGTATCTTATTAGAAGTTTAACAGAGACAAATACAATTAGTATCTACTTCTAATTCTCTGAAAATACTGGCGTATATTTCAAGAACTCCAGTCATTTAACATGGCTTTGCTAACTATCTACAAGGAATGGCCCTGATTACCATTTCAATACTTTTCTAATATGTGCTTACAGGTGGATTTTGGGTGACTTAGCCTGCTGGTTGCTTAACACTTTGATGTTACTCAGTTCTACATCTCATTTTTAGTGACTGCACACACTACATATTTATTATTTTCCCACTGTCTGACAAGAATAGAGGATGGGATGAATAAACTAGATGAAAATGAACTGATTTAACGTGTTTAGTTAGAAGTGTGGCTGTGGAGGCATTTATATAATTGGTTGAGGGTATGTGCCCACCTTTTATCAAAATGGTTTGTCTCCTGAGTGTTACTGAATCCATTTTTGTCCTGGATTAGTAAGTAGGTAAACATAGGGATGTGTACCTTTCATTCTCTGTGGCTGACTGTAAGGCTGCTGCCATTTCTCTCTCATGTAGACATTGTAATGATCATCAGTGACTTTGTGATTCAAGGATCGATAACCACAGTGCATTGTACTTTGAAGTCCACTTTCCAAGTGAAATTAAAGATGTTGGTGTTGATCTTTAAAAGTCTGTATTGTTTTGGGATTTAAGTATCTGGGGATCACCTCTCATCCTATACCCCAGTGTGACAGTTAAGAGCTGCCGTGGGGCTCTTGCTGTAGATTCCTGAGTTTGAACGTTTCACAGCTGGGCTTCCAACATTTTGTGGGGGATTCTGTAGGAAAAAAACAGGACACATGAGCCTGATTCATTGAAATCAGTGGGTGTTTTGCCATTTACTTTAATGGGTACTGGACTGGGCTCATTTCTTTACGGATTCAGATCTCAAGTGTTTATGTAACTCAGTTACATCATGGCCTTCTCTTCAGTGGAATAAAACAATATAAGCTTAACTCAAGTTTGCTTACTTTAGGTAAAATCCTGCTGAAGATAGTTTGTAGTTTTCACAAGTGTTAGCAGGTCAAATTAAAGAGTAGTCTGCCTTTAGTTCAGCCTGCTAACTCGTGTGGAAACAGACTTGTCTTTCCTAGGATTTTACATTGGGTTAGCTCACTTGAATTAAGAACACAGTTTTATTTTATCCAGTGAAGACTTAGAGGGTGTGCGTTGTTTCCCTCTAGTGGCTAGTCCAAATAGAGAATAGCAGTCTACTGCTATCAGCTAATGCAGTGGCTCTCAACCTTTCTAGAGTACTGGCCCTCTTTCAGGAGTCTGATTTGTTTTGCCTACCCCCAAGTTTCACTTCACTTAAAAACTACTTGCTTACAAAATCAGTCATAAAAATACAAAAGTGTCATAACACACTATATATTGAAAAATTGCTTCATTTCTCATTTTTCCATATAATTATAAAATAAATCAATTGGAATATAAATATTGTACTTACATTTCAATGCACAGTATATAGAGCACTATAAACAAGTCATTGTCCATATGAAATTTTAGTTTGTACTGGCTTCACTAATGCTTTTTATGTAGCCTGCTGTAAAACTAGGCAAATATCTAGATGAGTTGATATACCCCCTGAAGACTGCTGTGTACCCCCAGGGGTATGTGTACCACGGTTGAGACCTACTGAGCTAACAGAATCACTGTTTTGGCTCAAGTAGTAGAGGTTGCTGTTGCAGTAATACTGATACCAGGTTCAGACCCTGCTGATGACCAATGCAGGAGTTCATTACACTTACAAATTTAAAGCCTGAGGTATTGAGTGGCACCTGGATGGTATTAAATGTCCTTTTCTCCCTTTTACTTCAGCATGAGATGAGGGTACTTAGCACCTTTAGTCTTTAATTTGTATAAAATTTCAAATTTGAAGTTGAGAAATACTTTAAATAAAATATACATCTCTAACTCTGCATTCCTACAATTTTTATATGTTCGAAGATTTTTTTTAAAGCAAGCAAATCCAACTTACCTGTGAGCTGGTATCTATGAGTAAATAAAATATTCAAGCCAGGTCAATTTTTATGGCAGATAAAAACCTTTGAAAAAACAAGCTTTATAATAGATGTGCTGGCACAGCTCTATGTAGAGTGGTAACAATAGTTTGCTAGTTAAAAGTGGGATGCCTGCAATAATGGTAATCAATACAGTTAAAGCCTTTTTATGAACATGAAAGAAAAATAAAAAGGGGGAACAAAGAAATTAGTGACTAGTTAGTCAAAGCTTAGTACCAAGTAAAACACTTGAATTGAATTGATATGTAAGATCTTAAAAGACAATCTGATGACCAATATGCAGCCTAGTTTAATAAAGAACATACCATGCCAGATTAGTCTCATAGTTGTCTTTGTTACAAATATAGCTTCAAGAGTCTAGTCCTGAAAGCCTTACTCATGTGAGCAATCCTCATTCACCTCATCAGTACTATTGAAATCAGTGAAGTTACTCATGTGAGTAAGGATTTGCAGGCAAACCGAATTTATTATGTATTATGTGTATTTTAGTAGTGGCCCTAATGTATCTGGATTTTAGTAATTTAGTCCCCAATTCAGGAAGGCACTTAAGCATGTGCTTAAGTCCTTTCATATTCAAGAAAACAGTTAAGTATGTGCTTACCTTTATTGGCTTCAGTAGGACTTATGTATATGCTTCAAGTTAAGCACATATTTAAGTGCTTTCCTGAATACAGATGCCTTCCTGAATTGAGGATTTAGAAATTACCACATAAAGTCATAACCATGATCTTTCTGATTTAGTATCTTGCCTATAATTGTGGCATGTTACCATGTGTCCAAATCTAAGGGCTGTTCTACACACAGTGTTGTACTGTTGGTACAAAAACTGTGTAAACCAGCACTTAGACTTTATGATAATGTCATTAGAATAAAAATACTGTAGGGTGGGTACAAAATTGGCTGTTAGACCATAAACAGAACAATAAACCAGATTGTATAGAGATATCAAAATTCCATGACTTCAATATTGGGACCAGTACTATTTCACAACATCATAAATGACCTGAATATTGAACATCAATCAAATTTGCATGGAATACCTCATTAGAGGGAATAAATCAACAGTGGAGGAGAGAAAGAAATTCCCAAATGATTTAGAGAGATTAGAAAAATATCCATATAGGATATGCTTTAATTTAGAGAAAAGACATATAAAATCTAAGATTGTTGTTATTGATAACCGTCATGCTGAGAAGGGTTTGAAATGATAATGGATGCCAAAGTAAATTTGATCTTGCAATGTGATGTTGTAAGAAAGAAAAAAGTATATAGGGGATAAGGCCAAATTCAGAATATTGTGTATAGTTTGGGACCTGTTGATATAAAATAGACATCAGACAATAGAAAACTCAGAGAGGGACAGGAGACATCCTTTCAGGGGGGCAGGAGGGAGACAAACCAGGCTCCTCATGACCACCACTGGCACCCAGACCCAGCACAAGACCCTAGTGGCCTATTCTCTCCCCCTCCCTGCCATCTCCCCTCCTTTTGGAATAACAGCCTTCTCCTGCTGTCCCTAATATAGCCAGTCCTATGGCTCCAATGATAGAGTCTGTGCTGCAGTGTTGAAGGTTTAGTGTTCAAGTGCTGTTGATGTAGGGGTGGTTTGTTTTAGTTGTTCATAAAATAACTTATTTTTACCCTTTTCCTTTTTAAAAAAAGGGGAATTCCATTAATATAAAACCCTATGATGAAAAAAATGTTATTTAGGTTGCGAAGTCAAGCACTCAGAAGTTAGGAAATGCCAGACCAGTAGTTGCCTTTGTAACCTTAGTTCTATCCTTGTGCATATGCATTATAATACAGTCTTTGGTTATGTAATCATGTACTTTTTTCCCCACAGGACACCTGTCTCATTTAATGCACAGGACAGATGCACAAGAGGGGGCAGAATTAAGGTTGGAAAGGCAACCATAAATCTGGCATTTCCTAACTTTCAAGTGCTTGACTTTGCAACCACAATAACGTTCTTTTCAAGTAGTTTCTGCATGTAATAGCAATAAAAGTTAGATATCAGGTTTATTTAGTACAGAGGTAAAAGGGGTTTTAACATGAGGGATGTTCCATGTATTGAGGCTGACAGATTTCTGTGTAAATTTAAGCCTCACTTTTAGAACTCTCAAATGTCAGGGTTTGGTTTTTTTTCAGCCGCAGCTTAATTTAGTGAGGCTTAATTTTACCCAGAAATCGCATCTCTCGCGATCAATTCACGAGAGTTGGCATGTCTGCACAGAACTCTTCTTCTCAAACTTATACTTATTCGTAGGCATAAACCACAAGGGAGAGACTTCCTCATCAGTTAGTTACTTAGAAAAGGTGAATTTTCTAATCTAAAATGGATCCCTCATATGAATCCTTTTAGCGCTTCAGCTACCCAATTTATACTTTAATTGTATTTTTCTTTTCTCCTGTTTCTGTTTTCTTCATTTGGCTGGAGAGTTAAGGAAATTATTGCACTCGAGCATTCCTCCTATTTCCTCTGATGCAGGTCACAGGTGGAGTGACACCAGATTACATTTCTTCGTGGGATAGTTTCGGGAACAACTGTCACACCATGGAGGATGCCTTGTTTCCCTCACTCCCATTTTTGGTTCATCTGTACATCTTTGTCTTGCATGCCGAGGTAAGGTGTTCCTCTTTCATCATAGGAGACAAAGCCTATGTTCCTCCTTAGCTGTCATACTGGGAGCCAATTAAGCTTTCATTCACCCCAGAAGCATGCAAGTTTATAAGATGTATTTTACCAGCAGGGGATGTAACAAATTATCAGATAGGCCTGGCTACAGAAATGAAGAAGATATCTTAAAATGACATGGTCTTTACTGATTCCTGCTGAGCCTACACTTTCCCTGTAACATACATCTTTACGACTTATCAAACCTAGCTAAGCGCTTTGATACACTAAATGCAGAAAAATATATATTGAAATAGGATAAAAATTGAGACACAAACTGACAAAAGTGAGGAAACTGACTGGCACCCTACTGTTAACACACACGTTTAAGGAAAAAAGGGCACATCATCCATTTGAGTAAAAGGAGAAGGATTAGCTCCTTGGAGTTTTGTATTTTTGTGCTGTCACAATATCATTCATTATTTAAGTAAAATTTTCTGCAGCTGAAGTCTTTGTAGTTCTTTTAAAAAGCTGTAACGATTCATATGGACTCAGAGACCTTGTAGTTATTTATGTATTTATTTAAAAGTTTGTTTTCTGGAATAGACTAATGAGATAATACGGCTTGAGCTATGTTCTGACCTCAGTAACACAAATGTACGTCCAGAGTTATCAGAAGTCAGTGAATACTTCAGATTTATAATGGTGTAACAGACAGCAGAACCTAGCCCCTTGTGTTTATGCAGGTCTCAAAGAGATGTCAGTCATATAATGCTCCAGCATATTTCAGGGGAATGCACACAGTATATGGCAGGATGCTAAAGGCCAAATCCAGCTTGCCTTGCTTACTTATAAGCAAGTAGTCCCCTTGAGGTCGGTGGGAGCAAACAGGAGAGGTGCTGTCAAGGACTCATCTGAGTGAAGCTGATTGTAGTGCAGATTCCACACAAAAGAGCTGGTGGGTAGTGGAGGAAATAATGTATGTGTCCAGTGGCTCCATGCCAAGCCTTTCACACCCTGCCTCCTCTTGCATGGATCTCTGAACTGTGGAACTCTACTTATAAGGTCCAGGACAAGAAATGGGGGAAGGGAGAGAAGGAATAGGACTTTGCCAGATGCGTAAGTTTACTTTTCACCCCAATATGGATCAAGGATTAAAGCATGGGACCCCATTACACTGATATTAATAGTTAATCATTATTATTATAATAGAACAGGGGTGACCAAACTTACTGAGCATCTGAGATGCATATGATAATCTTCAGAAGTTCAAGAGCTGGGCACGCCTGCTGGGACTCAGGGCTTCAGCCCTGCTGGAGGCACCTGCCAGGGCTCGGGGCTTCAGCCGTGCTCCTACTGCAGACACCTCCTGCAGGACGGAAGCTCTGAGAACTCCTTCTGCGCTTGGCAGAAACCCCTAGCCCTGCCACAGGGAAGAAGCTCTGAGCTTCCCCTCCCCCAGTCTGGTAGGTAGAGAATGGCAGGGGGGCACGGGGGGCTCCGTGAGCCACACTTTAACTGTAAAAGAGAACAACTGCATGCGGCTCATGAGCCATGGTTTGGCCATCCCCTGTAATACAGATTTCTATAGAACTTGGATCTGGAGCATCTGGGTTACTATCACCTTTCACCAGGATTATAGGAAACTAATAAGGCAGCTCCAGTTGCTCTTTGTTAAGAGATTGCTGGATGCTGTGAAAGGGAAAACAGGGAGGGGACCTCAGACTAGCACAAGAATCACAGTGGAATGACCATATATGCAGGGAAAAGCTTGTTTGATTGACAGAAGTCCTTCCCTATGCAAAAATTAATTTACCTCTGTAACCAAAGCCATTATGAGGCTCAGAATAGTTTGGTTAAGGAAGGTAGTGAGGAGGTGTCAGCATGGCCTTTCCATCACAAAGCCTCTACTCTATCGCCCTACCTCTTAGCTGTGGACTTCTGTGGGCAGAGACCTTGTGACCTGCTGTCCTTCCTTAGCAACCTGTCTCTTCTTCATATGTGACCAAGCGGTTCACTCTCCTGCTTTGGCATTTGGGCTTCCTTCAGAGATGGCCATTGGCTGTGTAGCTTGTTTTCCTCGTTTCCAGTGAGGAATCTTTTTATGGGCTGGATGGCTGGTCCACTTCCTTGATAAGGGGCAATGGGACCCCCTCCACCTGGTTCTGCTTATGTCTGTAAACTTCCTTTTTCTTAATCTCTGTGGGGCTGATGCAGTTCTTGTTACCTGGATTTGAAATGATCCACTCTGCATGTTCATTATGAGGTATTTGTGTGTCTCTATATTTACACATACCTTTACTTTACATATCGTTACAGCCACTGTATCTATTTGATCCATACTACTTGGATACTGTTGTATGTTAATGCGGTCACATGTATCTAATTCTGTATTTGAACCTGTTTATAATATGTACCTTGATATTACATGAATACCTGTGCTGTGTACCCTGAATGGGCTGTTTTTGCAGCCTTTATGATAACTCTATAAACATACACTGAGAGAGTTTATAACTACTTGAGTATTAGATAAGTTTTAGAAAATAGACTCATGTTGGGGGTGTTTCAGTGACTCAAAATGAAATTCCTTCATGGGTCCTGCACTAAATTGTTTTAAAAGTCCTAAGTTAAAAGAAAACGTGATGAGCTGGTTTTTCATTGCTACACTCCTTTTTGTGTGCAAGTTCCATTCTGAGCTAGTAGCATTTTATACTCTGCATGGGTATAAATGTCTATAAACAAGCAAGGCCTGATGATCCAGTAGCTTGTATTTTTGAATATAAAAGTCAATTAGAAGTCTGACAGACAAGGGTCCTGGAAGCAATATGCAGCTTGAAAGAAAAGATAAAGTCCTAAGCAGATTAGTGATGTACTGAGTCCAGTTCTAAACCATTTCAGTTCAGAGAGTCATGCAGACTGGCTGTGTGCCTTCAGTTCAGAAAAGGAATGTTAAAAGCAGAACTGGCAAATGAAATTAGAAAGAGGCGAGGATGGAGACACTGAAAGAAGAAAGTTCTGAAATTGTTTTTTGAAGAGATCTGCAAATATTTCTAATACATTTCCATATAACATCATACCAATGGTTTCACATTGTACCAAAACAATCCTTAGCAATGGTCTGAGAGGCCAACATTAGAATAAGATTGCTTTCAGACATTGCTTAAAACTAAATAAATACATAAAATGAAATCCTAGATTCCACTAATGGCTCCACTTCCAGCTCAGCTGAGAATGAATCACCCACGCATTTATCAGATAAAACAAATATGATTTTTTATTGTGAACTACCTGACATTAGCAGTGATAAAGAAATCTGTTGCATTTGAATACAGAATAGTGAGGGGTATAAAGATCAGTCTTTAGAATGGTTATAAACAGATATACAAATGTAATATTTTCCTTTATTCTTTCAAGTTGGTCAGGAGTAAAAGTAATAGGTAGATACAATAAGGTACACAGACAAACTTTGCCAAAAATACAGTATAGTAAAACTAGTATAATTATCATTTACAGAGTATAAAAACCCCATAAGTGGTCTTATAACAGGCACTATTTCTTGATCGAGGTTAATAAAGTGAAAAGTTGGCAAAAGTAGAAACTTCTTTATTAATGTATCTTTTCCAGAATAAGTGGTGATTGGAGTCACAGATGCAGGTACTTGTATTATGTATCTGTTTTCAAATTGTTCATCTTCTGCATCATCATCAGCTGTCAGATTTTATTACTCCATCACCTGTAGATGAACGGTAAGTTTTTCATAATACCCAAACCTCTAACTTGCTAATAGTTCTATGCCTCTTTATGCCATATGACATAATGGACTACATGCAAGTTCTTGGGCTTCCTCTACATTTTGAGGATAATTATTCTAAACTGGAAAATAAATGTACACCACTGGGCTCAGCTAGTAATTGGTCTCTCCTGTAAAGAAAACAGAATTCTCCATTCCCTACAATACCAAAACAACTATTTACAGATATTTTTTACATGTGAGGGAAGCATGTAATCTAAGTCTACTCTTCAGTTCCATGAGCTATTAATGACAATTTAACTTGGACTATAAAAGATACTGTATTTTACACTTATTGTCTGTAGGCTTGTCATGAGAAAGCTGAGATAGATAGTCCCGCATAATATGTTCTACTGATTTCCTATATTCAATGCTACCATTATAAGATGAAAGTATAGTCAATAATGCAGCCTTGCAGCTGCTAAATTTGGTATAGCAGTTGTAGGCCATTAAGGCTTGTAGTTACTCACTCACTAGTGTCAACTTTTTAATTGATTTTTTTTACTTCATAGATCTAAGATTTTCTTTTGTGTTGACTCTAATGTTTTGTAATTTAAAGGGACACAGGGTTAAAAGTAAAATGTATTAAAAATCCTTAACTGTGTTAATAAAATTAACTTGAGATTATGAAAAGTAGAGCCGAGTGAAACTTTTTTTGACAAATAGTTTATTCATGGAAAAATGCAGTTTTAGTTGACCCACAACTACTCACAAATTTGTCAAATACTTTTGCCTTCCCTGCTTTTGTTTTTCTTTTCCAGGACTTTGCTACTAGTCAGAAAATGGTCAGAGGAGGAGACTGCCTTATAATTTTTAACCCAGTCTTCTTAGCGTATGCGCAACTGGCCACAGGTGGCACGTGACCAGGATTCATCACCAAATTTGGTCCACTGTTTGGATCATTAGCTTCCCTGGCTTGGGACAGGGAGCGTGATGTTAAATTCCCTCCTTTGCCTGATGTAAAGACAAAAGCTTATGCTCAAATAAATTGGTTAGTCTCTAAGGTGCCACAAGTACTCCTTTTCTTTTTGATTTTAACTTGATTATCCTACTGGGCTAAAGAGTGGCCCAGTCATTGCACCATGGGGTAATCCCAGGTAGATGACTTTCAATCTCTCCTATTAAAGCTGTTCCACTTTGTATAAATAAATATTCATTGGACTAAGGATTTGAACATAGATCTTCCACACTCCAGGCAAATGCCTAACCCACTATGCTGTAGAATTGCTCTTAGTTCCTTGGTGCAATGTCTATTCATTGTCATTATGAATGACTCTGAATTGCCACTGTGATTTATAAACTGCCCATGTAACTACCTGCTAACTACCTCATCCTCTGGCTGTTTTGTGAATCTAGCTCTATAAAAATGATAAAAAATTCCATTTTGGGTCAAACATTTTGATGAAATCTTTTCACAGCTTTCGGATTTATTTCATATTGAATCAAAAATATTTTTCAATTTTTCTGAACTGCCATGAGTCAATGAGCTATGTGCTTCCAGCCAGCCTCTTTCTCTCTCTCTGAACCAAGAAGGGAAGGTTGGGCATTTTAGTCCCTAGGACAGTTAGGACTACAGTCCAGGGCACTGGCAAGGCCTTTTGGGAAAGGGGTTGGGTTTTTCAGAACAGGAAGAGATGCAGAGGAAGTCAGAGGGGCAAAGGAGCCTCTTCCAGAAAAAGGGATAAGTAACTCATTCTTGTTTGTTTGTTTTTCATTTTGTATATACTGAGCTTTTATTTGAAAAGTCTTTGAGGCTGACCTATCTGGGGAGAGGCTGGGCTACCTTCACAAAGACTGAGGGCAAGAGAGCCCTGATAGGGGAAGTGTCTTGTTTGTTTTGGAAAAGAACTCCACAGGTATGGACCTTTGTTTGGTTTGGTCTGGTCTGCCACAACAGGTACAGTCAGCACAATTTAGCTTGAACCCTTGTTAAGTAGAAGGAAACATGGAGGAGGTTCTAAAATCCCTGGTTCAACAGGAGCAACCAAGAAGAGCAGCAGTGAGACAGTTGGCTAAGCAAGAACAATAGCAACAATTTATGAGAGCAGCCAAGAGGCCCTTGAACAGCTCCTAGAGCAGCTCAGACAACAGCTTGCTATTTCTGGGCTACTCACAGATCTAAATCTGCTGGCCAGTTTGGAAGTTAGAGCCAATCTGACTATATAATATTGAGGTATATTTGGCTCCCTCTGAGAGGATTGCCATAGTAGCCTATGGGGATTTGCTTTGTTCCTGAAACAAATAGCTCAGATGGCTTGTCTGGGTGTGAACTAAGATTTGGCCCAGAATTTTGACCTCTGGGGAGAAATAAGGCATCCTAGACTGGAATAGGGATCTTTGAGGAGACTTTGCCTATGAGAACAAGCACCTTAATAGAGGCTATACAGCCATCCAAGTAACTGACGAAATTGTCGTATTCTGTTCCATAGTCCTGGAGGAATAGGAAAGGTGGGTCTGAACATTTAGTCTGGCTGCTGGTGCAGAAACATATTAAAGGTCTCCTGGAGATGATAATTGAGGAGGAGAACTTGAACGTGCCTCTTATGAAGAGCTTCCCTGTGCGTGGCTAGTAGGGGGGATGCTCTGTCAGGACTTTATATCTATACCTCTTTGAGGTAGACTAACAAAGTACCATCCTGCAACTTGAGGAACTTTGAGGTAGACTAACAAAGTACCATCCTGCAACTTGGACACAAAGAACAGGATATTTATTCAGGTTATACATTCATTAGAGGCCCTATGGTGGGTGCAATGGACAGGACTTCTGGGGTTACATGGTGTCTCCACATTGCTGCAAAATAATGTCTAGCCTGGTAGACTTGGGTTGTCCCCAAATCATAGAGTCTATCTGATATTGCTGGACTTTCTACAAATCACAGATCCCATCCTCATCTCCATGGGTGGAGACAGCCATAAACCTGATGTGAGTGGGAGATCAAGGGAGGATTCTGGGTGGGATCTCCAAAATTGTTCTCTGGTCTGTGGTTATAAGGAGGGATTGGAAGCATAGCCACATTCTAGCGGGGCTGGTAATTATGCCTTGTCCTGATCCTATCTTAAAAGAAAGGACATTGCCTGAGGGAATTCTGTGTAGTGTTTCGCTGTTGTAAATTCAGATTGTGAAGATCCACCCCATCTACAAAAATCCAGGAATTAAAGCACAAGGTTTTGTGGGTGGGGTTGTTTGTGAGTTTGATTGGGGAAGATGGAGTGAGGCTTTGTCCAACTGGATTGATTGGGAAATGAGGCTTCTGACTTAGGTGTCAGAACTACAAAAGATTCTTCTTGTAACATCTTAACAAATTCCTTTGATGTAGTAGCTGAGCAGTGGCAGGTAGTTGGTGCATCATCTGATATCGTGAGTAAAGTAACAGAATACACTAAAAGGTTAATACCATATATATCTCCTGTAGGTCTAAAATAAATCACGTCAATGACAGTTGGTTTTCAAGTAAGAGGTAGTCTGGAATCCAGGTATAGCATGTTAAATTATGCAGATATGTTCTAGCTAGCAAGAATACTAAACATACTTTTCATCTGATCATCAATGTTATATTATAATACAAGAAAGGGATACAGCAAGTAGAAATATAATTTTGAAGTATGTTGCATCAGAACTAGTGCTTTTAGAGTTAATCTGTAGGTAAGAAAAGAGATTCAAACAGATATTGCTGTCTGCACTGTCTTAGGCAGTGATGCCATCATTATCTGTTAAAAGAAATACAGAACATGAATTTAGAACTTGGATGATAAGTGAAGTAGATGGTGACTTTCAGATATATTGTTTTAGAATGTTAAAGGTGTCTGTAATTTCTAAACTTAAATACTCTGGTTAAATTTCATCAATTACAGTCATGTGGCGTTACACTGGGGATGAATTTGACCCATTATGTTACCGAGTTTCTTTGTTTATAAGCCTTAAAGTTCATATTTGATTCTATGACAACAGGAAGTCTGAGATCAAGCACTGTAAGTGGCAACATATTTTCAGCTATTACATATTTTTAAAAATCTATCATATTTTAATAATTTACTAAAAAAAAGTGTTTTGATGTTTCTCTTCTGAATAGCATTTGTAATTTGACCTCATCAGGGTACCTCCTCAGGATCTCTACGTGCTCCTAGTTTTACCTCATAAAAATTTATTTTTTTCTTCTAATTGCTGTAAACGTGGAGTACTTTGTGCTAATCGCAGTTGCCATAAATTTCTGAAGTTTATAACAACTCCGTGGTAAACTGAAATTTACACAAATTGCCATTTGTTCCCCACAATCATCATGACCGAAAATAACATTATCTCACTCGCTGGGGCAGCCAATATTCAAGCAAACAGCCTGTTGTTGTGGTAAGCACAGACAATGTGCTTGGCACTGTGCAAAGCATAAATATAATATAATAAACCTTGCCCATAGGAGCTAAAAGGGAACATGACAAAATGCACTGGGAGATCCCAAAGAAGTGATTAACATAGGGCCAGATTGTGCTCTCTTACACCTTCTGGCTTCTCGGCACACAAGTGCAGCTTAACTACCAATGGAGGGATTTGAAGACAGAATGATTTGACTGGTTTGGCAGGCCAGGAAAGTCATTTTAGTAGTTGTGTTTTGGATGGACTGGAGGAGAGTGATTTAGATGAGTGGGGCAGAAGCAAGTGGGGAGGGGACAGGAGAAAGGAGAAGAGATGACCTGGCCATCTAGTTAATTTACATTATAAAGCAGCATTTCAGTGCATCTGGTTGCAACCACATAGTGAAAATGGGAAGAGGTGGGGATTAGGTGCTGATATGGGCAGGGGCAGAACATGTCTGACTGAATAGGGGAAGCAAATGGGAAACAAGGGCAGAATGAGGGAGGTTTCCTAACTCTCCCCCACCTCCCATCAGCTCCTATTCCTATTCCCCCTACCTTGAACAACCTTCCCATAGCGACTCCACCTGCACCCCTGTTTCACTCCAGTGTCCCTCCAGGCACATTCCCTCCTGCCCCACCCCCACCCTGCAGAGTCCTCCAGTTTCCCTTATGTGACTGTCTGTACCCCATGTTCACCCTTTTTACAAGACTATTATAAATTTTGTACACAATATGCCCTGTGAGGTATCATTTGAAAACTCATAATCTGCTGAACATTATTGTCCTGGTAAAATATATGTGGCAATGTTGTATGTAAAGTTATAAGATTCTATTGTATAACATTGCTGTAACATGTTCCAAAGTTAGAAAGGCGGGCCCAAACCGGTTCTTCAGAGACAAAGATACTGGCACGCCCTGACAGGTATCAGCAAAGGCAAATGGGCTGTCACTGAGTTAAGCGGCTGTTCTCAGGCAGGGGGAAGGAGTGAACAAGAAATTTACAGTTCATCACAAGGACGGTTCAAACCTCACGTCCACACTAGATTATTTTGTGACCATGACTCAGCAAGGATCTTTCTAGCACAAGAAATTGAATTATAAAGAGGTTTATATTATTATATATATTATAAGTTATAAAAACGCTTGTCCTCACTCTCCTTCTTCATCTCTGCTCATGACATCAACAACTCCTAAAGAACTGAATTTGGGGAGGCTCTTCAGCCAGTATAGACTGCTGTAAGCTTATGGTAAGAAAAACCTTTTGCTTTTAAGTTCACTTAGTTTATTAAATGAGGCAATTAGCTTGAGTTTTATAATTTTATTTCTTTTGTAACCAACCCTGATTTTTATGCTTCATTGCCTATTGCGACTTAAAATCTTTTTCTTTCTGTAAAAAGAAAAGGAGTACTTGTGGCACCTTAGAGACTAACCAATTTATTTGAGCATGAGCTTTCGTGAGCTACAGCTCACTTCATCGGATGCATACCGTGGAAACTGCAGCAGACTTTATATATACACAGAGAATATGAAACAATACCTCCTCCCACCCCACTGTCCTGCTGGTAACAGCTTATCTAAAGTGATCATCAGGTTGGGCCATTTCCAGCACAAATCCAGGTTTTCTCACCCTCCACCCCCCCACACAAATTCACTCTCCTGCTGGTGATAGCCCATCCAAAGTGACAACTCTTTACACAATGTGCATGATAATCAAGTTGGGCCATTTCCTGCACAAATCCAGGTTCTCTCACCCCCTCACCCTCCTCCCAAAAACCACACACACAAACTCACTATCCTGCTGGTAATAGCTCATCCAAAGTGACCATTCTCCCTACAATGTGCATGATAATCAAGGTGGGCCATTTCCAGCACAAATCCAGGTTTTCTCACATCCCCCCCACCCCCATACACACACAAACTCACTCTCCTACTGACCTACAAACCTACTGACCGCTATTCCTACCTGCATGCCTCCAGCTTTCACCCTGACCACACCACACGATCCATCGTCTACAGCCAAGCTCTGCGATACAACCGCATTTGCTCCAACCCCTCAGACAGAGACAAACACCTACAAGATCTCTGTCAAGCTTTCTTACAACTACAATACCCACCTGCAGAAGTAAAGAAACAGATTGATAGAGCCAGAAGAGTTCCCAGAAGTTACCTACTACAGGACAGGCCTAACAAAGAAAATAACAGAACGCCACTAGCGGTCACCTTCAGCCCCCAACTAAAACCACCTCCAACGCATTATTAAGGATCTACAACCTATCCTAAAGGATGACCCAACACTCTCACAAATCTTGGGAGACAGGCCAGTCCTTGCCTACAGACAGCCCCGCAACCTGAAGCAAATACTCACCAACAACCACATACCACACAACAGAACCACTAACCCAGGAACTTATCCTTGCAACAAAGCCCGTTGCCAATTGTGCCCACATATCTATTCAGGGGACACCATCACAGGGCCTAATAACATCAGCCACACTATCAGAGGCTCATTCACCTGCACATCCACCAATGTGATATATGCCATCATGTGCCAGCAATGCCCCTCTGCCATGTACATTGGTCAAACTGGACAGTCTCTACGTAAAAGAATAAATGGACACAAATCAGATGTCAAGAATTATAACATTCATAAACCAGTCGGAGAACACTTCAATCTCTCTGGTCACGCAATCACAGACATGAAGGTCGCTATCTTAAAACAAAAAAACTTCAAATCTAGACTCCAGCGAGAAACTGCTGAATTGGAATTCATTTGCAAATTGGATACTATTAATTTAGGCTTAAATAGAGACTGGGAGTGGCTAAGTCATTATGCAAGGTAGCCTATTTCCTCTTGTTTTTTCCTACCCCCCCCCCCCCCCAGATGTTCTGGTTTAACTTGGATTTAAACTTGGAGAGTGGTCAGTTTGGATGAGCTATTACCAGCAGGAGAGTGAGTTTGTGTGTGTATGGGGGTGGGGGGGATGTGAGAGAACCTGGATTTGTGCAGGAAATGGCCCAACTTGATTATCATGCACATTGTGTAAAGAGTTGTCACTTTGGATGGGCTATCACCAGCAGGAGAGTGAATTTGTGTGTGGGGGGGTGGAGGGTGAGAAAACCTGGATTTGTGCTGGAAATGGCCCAACCTGATGATCACTTTAGATAAGCTGTTACCAGCAGGACAGTGGGGTGGGAGGAGGTATTGTTTCATATTCTCTGTGTATATATAAAGTCTGCTGCAGTTTCCACGGTATGCATCCAATGAAGTGAGCTGTAGCTCACGAAAGCTCATGCTCAAATAAATTGGTTAGTCTCTAAGGTGCCACAAGTACTCCTTTTCTTTTTGCGAATACAGACTAACACGGCTGTTACTCTGAAACCTTTCTTTCTGTAGTTAACAAATGGGTTTCACTGTTTTATCTAACCAGTATGTTTGGATTAAAGTATGTGGGGAAACTCCATTTGGGATAACAAAGCTGGAGCATATCGTTTTCCATTGATGAAATGACAGACTTTATATGAGCTTGCATCGTTCAGCAGTGTGTTGGACAGTACAAGATGCACCTTTCTGGGGGAAAGTCTGGAACTAGAGAGCTTGCTGGTGTTGCTTTGTAGTTTAATTCACAGGTGGCTAGCTAGTAGCACTCAGTTCTGTGGAACTGGGAGCAAGTTACATGCTGGAGACTGTGTTTTAACTGGCCAGGAGTGGCTGTTCTCACAATAAAGTGGTGAAAGAGGCACCATAGGTTGGAGAACTGCGGGGGACACAGCTGTTCAACAGTCCAGATTATACCCTAGGCAATGTCACACCTTGGTTACACCCAAGTTTTCTTGAATCTCTCCAAGACATGTCACACATTTTTGAGGCGTTCAAGAAGTAAACTCCTTCTTCCATAGGTGCTGACTTTTATTTTTCCACCCCCACTCCACCCTGAGACCCCAGCCTACTCCGCCCCCTCCCCTGAGGCCCTGCCCTTGCTCCCCCTGTTCCCGCCCCTGCTCTGCCTGCTCCCCGAGGTTCCTGCCTGCCTGCTGCTCTCCGCCCTCCCACAGCTGCCAAACAACTGATCAGCGGAGTTGGCACTATGCCTGCTTCCACTGCTAGGGGTGGGAGAGAGGGAGCCCTGTGAGGGAAATTAGTGACTTGGCATCACTGGAGTAAAATGTGACACACACACACACAGCTGCAGTTTTATGAGAGTTAAAAAGAAGTTTGCTGGACATACTTTCTTCATTTTCCATCATAGCATTGGGTTCATAGAAGGAAAGAATGAGAAATCTGTTATTCTACAGCTTGTGGCAGTGTTACAAACAATGGAAAGGAAAATTATACAAAACTAGTTGTGTATGTCCCTTCAACAGGAAATGGTTTTACAAGTAAAGAAAAGTGTGAAGTAGAAAGGGCATGTAAAATGCAGGATAATATAAAGTGTCCGATAAAGTCCCAGGTTCTTTATTTGCCACTATGAAGAATTAAATAGATCATTGAAGTAATTTCTGTTCATGTGTAACAGTTTTAAAGTATTAGCTGTGGTGATGGGGATGATGTGTTATTTATTGCGTATTGTCTGAAATGTTTTACTTCCAGCAGCTTGTCACATAAATGAGGTTTCCAATAACTTGCCACAATTAATGTTTGCCAGAGGATTCTGTGGTTATAACAGACAATGACTTCAGCAGAACATCATTCATTACTGAGGCTGGTTTGATTGCTGCACTGAGGTTTGTTATGTTACCAGATTCTTCCACCGATGGGCATTTGCTACAGGTGTAGAAGCTTTGCCTAAGATACAGTACAGTATATACTGTTAAATTCACCAGCATAGCGTAATTGAAGCTTTGTCAGAAACAACAATCGCATAATCTGTTTGCCAGTAGCTTGTCAACTGCTTGCCTCAGAAGATTTTTGCAGTTCTCATTTGCAATGTAAAACTGCTTTTGCTGAAGGTCTGCAGCAAAGATGCAGCACCATAGCCATAACAGGCTGCCAGAGGGCATATTGTCCCAGTTGGGCAGTCATGGCTAGCCTAGATCTTCTATAGATATATAATCAAATCAAGTAAAATGTGGTCTGTGATGGCCTGAAAAAGATGAAGGCATACATGAGGAATCATAGGCCATCTAATCTCATCCCTTGCACGAAGCCAAATGCAGATAACTATAAATAAATACCAACATTCTTTATAGCCACCCACTGTTTTGGAAACACGTTCAGGTCCATTTGCCAAGTACTAGTGTGCAGAGCCCGTTTTTCCTTCTAAACAGTGAAAATCAATCTTGGCTGTGTATATATTTTCAGCTGTATGTTTTCTAGCTGCATTTAGGCCTTGATTTAGGCCATTTGGTGTTGTCTAGATCAGATATTAACTGCAGCTCAATGGCTGTGATATTAGCTGGAGACAGTGCAATTATCCTTTTGCTTGGGTTAAGCCATGGTTTAATTTCTTGCATATTTCTGTTCTTCGTCCTGGGCTATCTCCCAGATGATTCAAAGTTAAGCCAAATCTGTGTTTTTTTTAAATAGCACTACAGATTCATCCACATACATAGCATCTCTTCACAATCTTATCCTGTGATGAAAATTGAACCATTCTTCATTGACAAATGGTTTTAGATTTTTGCTTTGTTAGCTAGCTAGGTCTCTGAGCCCAATTTGTATTTTTTTAGCTATTTCCAGGGGACCGAATATATTTTTGAAAGCAGAGCTCCAGTGATAGATTACAAACTCTGAAACTTTTGTCCTGAAGTACATTATTACTGAGGTTTAAAATGGGGTATAATCTGGGGAGACAGAAATCAGGTTTATACCTTAGTAACAGCTGGTAGGTTCTGGCATTCCTGCACTTTGACTATTTGTAGTATTTAAATGTATGCAGCCTGATGCACCTCCTTTTTTATTTTTTTTATTTTATTTCTTTTTAACTGTCAAATAGAAAGCTCACTTTGGAAAGCTTTTTTGATGTTGAGATATGAGTAGTTTATTAAGAGCTTTAAGAGAAGAGATTTTAAAAGGGAGGCTTAGAGGAGGCGGAAAGGAAATTAGATGTAAGAAAGAAAAGAGGAAGTAGTCGGAGGAAAGAAAATGTGGGGGCGGGGGAGAAGAGATATTGATTGAGGAGACCAGAGAACTGTTGAGATCAGCTACCAGACTGAATATTCAAAGATATTATATAGCACCTACAAGAGATTTTGAGATGCAGTTCAAGAAGCTAGTAGGCATTGTGCATGATTATGATTATATTATGGATGGGGGGAAAACTACTTGTTTGAACCCATTCACAGCATTAGGTTAGCACAGATGTTGGAGTTCTCTGCATTGCTGCTCTCACAGTCTGTCCCTTCCTTGGATGTGTCTAAAACCTTTCCACAGGATCTTGCTCTCTGGAAACCCCACCATTTTACTCTGCTACCTCTGCCTAGCAGGATAAAGTATTCTCAAGCTTTCAGTCCAGTTGATTCTTGTCAAAGATTACTGACCCAGTTGGCTGCCCATTTCAACTCAAAACACAGTGAACTTCTAAGGCACTTTGAGATTTGACTCTTCGAGACAGACAATAGCAATAACTGCCTGGTGACTTTATGTTGCAGTTCACCGTCACTCTTCGTGACCAAGCAGCTGCGTCCGACGTCTGCTCCTTGACAGATGGACTTTTTAGAAACGAAATAATCCAATGAACTGCAAGGGAAAGCCTCAGGGAATGTTGCTCTTTCTGCCAGATGACTTGATATCTGCCAAGCAGTAACCATCACTGACTATGGGAAGAGCCATGATCCAGGAAGAACAAGAAGCTGGAGCTGCCACTATTGAAATAGCGGTGACAGAGATTCAGAAATTCTGGACTGTGGGCTCAGTTTCAGGCGTATGAGTTCACTGTAGAACTATGGCCTAAGAACACATGATACTAGTGCTGCCGTGCCTGGTGAGCAGAAAATGGTGCTACCTCTGATGTTCCAATCGCCTACGTGACTGTCGCAAGTCCATGCCAAATGTGTTATATTTTTACATATCAGAATCCATTCCTGGGGCCTTTACTATTAATCATGTGTATGTGCTTCCATAAATGTACATGGTACTGTAGTATGCTGCTGTGATGCTATCTTGGGGTGCCCAGGACTGTGAGACAGCTGGTTACACCCCTGCCAGTGCAAGAGAGACTTGTTTGTCCTTAACTGAATGTCCGCTCCCTGACACCATGTGGTGTTTAGATGCTGCTTGTAATTATTAGAACTGGGAGCACTGGCTGTTGGGAGTCTGAAAGGACAGGAAACAGGAAGGAGGGGGGAGGAGTTGAGGAGGCTGAGTGAGAGCTATCGAGGGTGCAGCAGCAGCTTGGTAAAAAGGTTTCCACTTTAACAATAAAGTTCTGTTGAAGTTTGTTAGTACCTTGCCTGGTTGCTACAACACACCACCAGTCTGTTAGCCACTCAAACAATCTCTGGGCTTTGCCAGCCCTTACTTTGTCTTGCAGGTAGCAATAGGTGTATCCCAGCCCCCGAACCTCTCTGAAAGTATCCCACTGCAGTATCCAGCAGCCCCTGACACTGGACACTCATAGAAATGACCAGGTTTGCTGTCCCAAGGGGAAAACTATCCACGCAGCTTGACTGGTACAACTAAGGATCAGGTCCTTTATAACATCACAGCACTGAGAAATAGTGATAGTGAGACAATCATAAATTTTATTATGAAAGGCAGAGATTTGAGAGGTACTGAGTAAGGATAATGGAAACAGAAGTGATTACATATCAAAGAAAAATACAACATGCTTTTTAGAGTTTGAAATTAATATTAACAGACTAAAATCCCCGTCTAAAATATTTTCTTACCTAAAGCAATTTCCCAGTGTCACCAGCCAACATGGCTGGGATCCACCTTTTGTGAATGCAGAAAGCACTGTCCTTTTTGCTCCCTCAGTGCTGGGTAACAAGAGTCAGGATGGCTCCAAATTGTCGTCACATACTTGTGTTGACTGCATATACAGAATTAGCTTCCACTGTGTTGGCTTACAATGCTTAATCTACATATGAACCTAGGCAGACAGGTGAATATACATCCCTTTTTCTGGAGAAACCTGTTTGTCAGCCCAGCCTGGGACACAGACTGTAAAATATAATTTCAGTACGTATACACAACTCCTTAAATATAATCTATACATACATCTCTCAACAATTATGAGGATCAATATGACTACTCCTGAGGGAATTCTGCTCCAAAAATTTAAAAATCATGTGCACGATATTTTAAAATTCTGCAAATTTTATTTGTCAATTGTCAAATAAATGTGGCTCCAGCATGGCAGTGGGGAGCAAAGGCCACTGGCTGCATTGAGATGGGAGATCACCCTAAAGTCCCCACCTCTCCCGGTATAGGGACTTGGCAGTGAGGCTATACCTGACACAGTGCAAGGGTTGGGCGTGCCCCAGAAACACCCCGGGGCCCTGCCCCTCTGCATCAGGTGTGAGTGGGCAGGCTCAGCCCAGCAGGATCCAAGTGTGGGGAGATCCAGGTGTGGGGTGAGAGGTTTTTGTGTGGTGCAATCTGGGTGTGGACGGCTCAGTGGGAGATCTGGACAGGGGCTCATTGGGGGGCTCTGGGTGCAGGGGCAATGGGACTCTGCAGGGGATCCGGGTGAAGATGGTAGGGGTTCAGCAGGTGGGTCTGGATGTGGGGAGATGGGGCTCAGCAGGGGGGGTTGGGTGTGGGGGGGCTCATTGGAGGGATCCAGGTGTAGGGTAGGGCTTGTCAGGGTAAGGGTTTGATGGGCCTGCTTAACGGGGAGCCCCAGATGCTGCCGGGGGGAACACCACATGCTGGGCTCCTGCTTCCCCCCATGATTCCCCTATCCCCTTTTCTTCTCCATCCCCCTCCTCTCACTCCCACAGTCCTCCCCCGCCCTATTCTACCCCTCACCCTTGCTTCCCTCATTCCCCCCACCCTTACCCAGCCCCACCGTGGGCGCTCACTGTTGCACAGAAAACAGAAAGGCTTCCAGCACGCAGAAGAGGAGCACGACTGGCACTAGGATCCAGGAGGCAGTGTTCAGCTGCAGAATCAGCAGAGGACAGATGCAGCCTCCTTCAGCTGGGCAGCTCTGTGCTTGCAGAAATGGGGGTCGGGGGGGCAGTGGCACGTAACCCCATATGCCCCCCCCATGCCTCACCTCTGTTTAGGGGGGAGCAATCCCCCCCAAAATACTGCACCCATGGACTCCCCGTCCCCTCGCGTGGCTTCCCTGCTGTTTCCTGCAGGGAAGCATAGTAATTCTTTGGGGGGGCCATTTTCTGCAGGCGTGCAGTCACGCAGAATCCCCCCAGGAGTGATATGGCATAAGCTTTTATTAGACACCGTACATGACCCTTTTTGGATAAATGCTATGAAAGCAGTATGTTAGGTGTAGTGAGTTTGTCAGGCCTGATAAGAGTTGTTACAGAACAGAGAACGCTTTGCCAGCTGGCATTCAGGGGTTTTTAGGCTCACAGCTGGACTCTGCGAGGAACACTGGTACAGCTGGTTCCTACTACTAAGGTCTTTAGTAGGGAGGCACTGATGAAGAAAAATCAGTTTCCATCTGCTTCATGGAAAAGGCACAATGTTAGCCACTTCTTGAAGATGTAGACTGAGGGAACTAGACATACATTGATGGAGAGGCTCTTTGAGGCATAAAACCCCCTTATCAACAATCAACATTAGATACTTGGTTCTCTAAACATCTATTTTGAACTGGGCTACTGAACATATTTACTGCTTTCTGGCAATGTTTTCAACCCCAGTATCAATATGACATAGAGACTGTGAAACTTGTGTATTGATTTCTGCATCGCTATACAGCTACTTGTCACACACACCTTTCAGCATCCTAATACCATATGGCCACAAATTAAATGATTTAGCTATCTTTTATAGTGGACTAGGAGGAGCTATAAGAGAAGGGCTGAAAATATTTGATAAATAAGCCCCTAAAAGGCTTTATCAGGAAGACTGACATCTATACAAGATCAAAACTTACTTTTAGAAATTTTCCTAAAATTTCGTTACTTTGAAGAGCCCCCCACGTAGTTTAATAAACCCTGCACACCCAGGAGGCATTCTTGGGTATTTCGTAACATTGGCCTTGGTATTTATTACAGCTGCCGTATTGATATTCGTAAGCTGTTGATTGTTGTGTGAGATTTGAAAATTCCCATGTTGACTTCATTTCTGCCTTATTTTTTTTTTTTTTGAAAGAGCAGGGGACTATGGAATTGGAGTGACTTCAAATTTTAGCTTCTACTTAGTCATTTGATTTCATCTAAGCCAGTGTTTCCCAAACTTGGGATGCCACATCTTCAGGGAAAGCCCGTGGCGGGCCCGTCCGGTTTGTTTACCTGCCGCATCCGCAGGTTCAGTCAATCACGGCTCCCATTGGCTGCGGTTCACTGTGCCTGGCCAATGGGGGCTGTGGGAAGTGGTGCGGGCCGAGGGATGTACTGGCCGCCACTTCCCACAGCCCCCATTGGCCAGGCACAACGAATCGCGGACAGTGGGAGCCGTGATTGGCCGAACCTGCGGACGCGGCAGGTAAACAAAGCGGCCGGGCCCGCCAGGGACTTTCCCTGAACAAGTGGCGTCCCAAACTTGGGAAACACTTACCTAAGCTATCAAAAGAATATCACATTTATACCAGTTAGAAGAGGGAATAGAAAAATTGCAGTGTCTTGGTCTTTGGAATGTATATGGTCTACAACAGTGGCTCTCAACCTTTCCAGACAACTTTATTCCTTTTAGGAGTCTGACTTGTCTTGCGTACCCCCAAGTTTCTCCTCATTTAAAAACTACTTGCTTACAAAATCAGATGTAAAAATACGAAAGTGTCACAGCACACTACTACTGAAAAATTGCGTACTTTCTCATTTTTACTATACAATTATAAAATAAATCAATTGGAATATAAATATTGTACTTACATTTCAGTGTATAGTATATAGAGCAGTATAAACAAGTCATTGTCTGTATGAAATTTTAGTTTGTAATGACTTTGCTAGTGATTTTTATGTAGCCTGTTGTAAAACTAGGCAAACATCTAGGTGAGTTGATGTATCCCCTGGAAGACCTCTGTGTACCCACAGAGGTAAGTATATCCCTGGTTGAGAACCACTGGTCTACAACCATGGAAATGTTGATACCAGCAATAATAGGGGGGGATCTCTAAAAATTGGTTGGGAAATTGTACAAGGGCTCTGGAACAGTTTTTATAGTGGGGGTGCTGAGAGCCATTGAACCAAACTGTAAACCTTGTATATAATTGAAACCACTTCAAGCCGGGGGGTGCAGAAGCACCCCTAGTTCCAGCACCTATGCTAGTTGGCCAGGAAAATATACAATGTAGTCAAGAACTCTGAAGTGGTGGGGAAATGGACTAGCTGATTTATTAATTGTAGAGATGGGCCTCAGTTGCAAAGATAGGGTTTGGATCTGAAAGTTTCCCAAACTTCAGGGGCATTTGGACCAATAGTTGTTGTTCAGACCACCTATATATATAGGAGTCTTTATTTTCCATAATTCATTAAAAAAATTCTTCTAGAGGCCCCCTGAAATATTATAGTAAGGTCTGTCACCACTTGTGGTGCTGTTATGTTGGAGAACAGAGATGGGTGTGGGTTTAAACATACAATTCTCTTGTTGCCTCTGAAGTTATTTTTCCTCCTTAGGACTGTTTTGCACACAGCACAGACAGTATTACTTACTATCTAAGCAGCTCTATGCTGCCATCTATTGTTCACTGGTGTTATAACATGTATTTAACAGTACAGTAAAATAGGGGTATTTAAAAGCAGGGCATTGCAGAACATCTCTCAGTCTCAGTCAGTAAAAGGTAAAAGTAACAAGGGGGAAAATATTTTGGATATTTTGGAACAGAATCCCAAATTGCAAAGAAGACTAATAAAGAAGTGCTGTAAATCACTGTATCTAAGTGCTATCAAAACACAGTATATAAAGATTTCATTCCATGCTAGAGAGGAATTCTGGAATAAAATTAAATCTCTTCTCATGACCGAGCCACATTTCTTTGCCAGCACATTGAAAAAGAGAGCAATCTGCAGCATTTCACATACAAAACATAAAGCTGAAATGGTTCTACAGCTCTGAAAGCTAACAATATGTAGCCAATGGGGAAAAGTTGTATGTATGTAGGTGGTAAGCAGTGCTCGGTGTGAAAGGGATTCAGTGAATAAATGATATTTTCAAATCCCTATGAACTGATCTAACTTCACATACTTGGAACGAGTAATGTTTTTTACGGCTTTTAACTCTATCACTCAATCCGTAGAACCAGTCCCTAAGGAACTGGGGTTTGGATACATGTAGTTGACAAATCATCATATAGGGAAAACACATGACC